AGTGCGCGGACTCTAATCTGGGAAGACCGGGTTTGATTCCCCACTCCTCCACTTGCAGCTGCCGGATGACCTTGGGCAAGCCATAGTTCTGTCAGAGCTGTCCTCTCAAGGGCAGTTCTTGAAAGAGCTCTCTCAGCCCGACCTATCTCACAGGGGGTGTCTGTTGTGGGGAGGAGAAGGGGAAGGAGTTTGTAAGCCGCTCTGAGACTCCGAGTGAAGGGCGGGGGATAAATCCAATCTACTTCTCTCCTCCTCCTCCTCCTTGTCAGCTATGCTGCCATGGGGGTGGTGGAGGTCAGTTGTATTCTAATTGCCATTACATTCCTTCCGTGCTTCTTCGCTGCTGCAACGCCCATCTCTAAGTTTTGCAGCTGGTGGGATGTTGATGTCTAGTTTCCAGGGAACCGTGGGAGCGAGCTTGGTTCCCAGCTTCAGCGCTAACGGCCGGAGCGCCTTCTCCCGCGCGCGGGAGTGTGGCTACTCGGCCAGGGCAGTGGGGGTGTGTGCATATGAATACCCTATATCCTATTATGCCCCATGGGCAGCCGCCATTCTTAACAGTGCCTATGTTAATGCATCTATAGCTCTTCAATAAAAGTATTACCTTTCCTGATAAGCGTGTACTACGTTGTTGGCTGTGGGTTCTGACCAGGGCTTTTTTTGTAGAAAAAGCCCAGCAGGAACTCATTAGCATAATAAGCCATACTCAACAGCAGAAACTCATTAGCATATTAGGCCACACCCGAAAGCACAGCTCATTAGCTTATTAGGCCACACCCCCATGTTACCAGAAGTGTGGTCATCCAGCCACACCCACCTTTTGCTTCTTATCCTGCTTATCTTGTTGTCAAAACCCAGGGCTTTTTTTTGTAGCAGGAACTACCTTGCAAGTTAGGCCACACACCCCTAATGTAGCCAATCCTAATGAGTTCCTGCTGTTGGGTGTGGCCTGTTATGCTAATGAGCTCCTGCTGGGTGTGGCCAACTCAGGAGCCAGCCAGAACTCCGTTCCTGTGCGTTCCTGCCCAAAAATAGCCCTGGTTCTGACACTCCTCCTCTTCCTCCTCCTCTCTTCTTTGCTCCTTGTCTCCTAGGCCTTTCCAGCGCACGGTGACCCTGCACAAGGACAGCTCCGGATATGTGGGCTTCGTCATCAAGAAGGGGCAGGTCGCCTCCATCGCCAGGGGGACCTCTGCGGCTCGGAACGGGCTCCTCACCAACCACTACATCTGCGAGGTCAACGGACAGAACGTCATCGGGCTCAGGGTGAGGGTCCAGCCCTCCGAGCGTGTGGCAGTAGTAGGGGTAGTGGTGAAGGGACACATTCATTCAGGATAAGTCAATATTCCAAGCCCTGACCTGGATGGCCCAGGCTAGCTTGATCTCACCAGATCTCCGAAGCTAAGCAGGGTCGGCCTTGGTTCGTATTAGGATGGGAGACCACCACGGACGTCCAGGGTCGCTCTGCAGAGGCCCACCACCTCTGCTCAACTCCGTCCTGACCCGAATGGCCCAGGCTAGCTTGATCTCACCAGATCTCCGAAGCTAAGCAGGGTTGGACCTGGTTAGTTCTTGGATGGGAGACAACCAAGGAAGGCCAAGGTCGCTCTGCAGAGGCAGGCAAGGGCAAACCACCTCTGCTTAACTCTGCCCTGGACTGAATCGCACAGGCTCGCAGATCTCGGAAGCTAAGCAGGGTTGGACCTGGTTAGTTCTTGGATGGGAGACCACCAAGGAAGTCCAGGGTCGCTCTGCAGAGGCAGGCAAGGGCAAACCACCTCTGAATGTCTCTTGCCTTGAAAACCCCATGGGGTCACCATAAGTTGGCTGTGACTTGACAGAGCTTCTCTCTCTCTCACACACACACACAGAAATCTTCCAAAGCTGTAAGGACTAGAAACTTGTACATTTGATATACCATAAAGTACTTGAACATCCACCCTCTGTCGCCGTTCCGTTTCTCAGAGTCCCCCCTCCAGGGGACTGGTCTCTGTAGTCCGGAGGTCAGTTGTAATTCCAGAAGATCTCTAGGCCCCACCTGGTATCGGAGGACAAGAGCTTCACTGGTGAAAGCTTTTATCCAGAGGTCATTTCGGGGGGGATCGCGGGGGATCGCAGTTCCCCCGGGTGAGGTACGGGGGGCGGG